CATGAGGAGGCTGCGTCCCCTCAGCACTACATGGTAGCAAAACATCGACTGCAGGAGGGAAAAAAACGACTGAAAAGGGACAATTTCTGAAATTCCCAATAGTGGGATCATCCTATTTCCCCGTTAATATCCAGTTTTTCCCTGGGGTCTCGTTCCCAAACTCTTGCTGGTGTGGTGATCAGGGGAACCATGGGGGATGAGGAGGCCGTGCCCCATCAGCGCTAGATGGTAGCAAAACATCAACTCCAGGAGGGGAAAACCAATTTTAAAGGGTCAATTTCTGAAATTCCCAGTAGTGGGATCATCCTATTTCCCCCTTAAAATCCAGTTTTCCCCAGGGTCTCCTTCCCAAATTCCCACCGGTGCTGGGATCCTTTCTGAGGGGAACCAGGGGGCCTGAGGAGGCCGCGCCCCGTCAGCGCTAGATGGTAGCAAAACATCGATTCCAGGAGGGAAAAATCAGTTTAAAAGGGACAATTTCTGAAATTCCCGATAGTGGGATCATCCTATTTCTCCGTTAAAATCCAGTTTTTCCTGGGGTCTCGTTCCCAAATTCCCGCCGGTGCTGGGATCCGCCCTGAGGGAACCACGCGGGCCTGAGGAGGCCGCACCCCTCAGCGCTAGATGGTAGCAAAACATCGACTCTAGGAGGGAAAAAAACTATTAAAAAAGGGACAATTTCTGAAATCCCGAATAGTGGGATCATCCTATTTCCCCGTTAAAATCCAGTTTTTCCTGGGGTCTCGTTCCCAAATTCCCGCCGGTGCTGGGATCCGCCCTGAGGGAACCACGCGGGCCTGAGGAGGCCGCACCCCTCAGCGCTAGATGGTAGCAAAACATCGACTCCAGGAGGGAAAAACCGCCTGGGTTTTCCTGAAAAAAAAAAAGAGAAAAATCCCTCCTGGAGACCCGCGGGTTCCCGGGGAGTGCTCGGAGAAGGGAGCAGGGAAGGGGAAGGGGAAGTTTGAGGGGGGAGAGGCTGAGGGGGTCCCGGGATGCAAACCCAGCACAGCCGAGGGGAGGCTGGATATTGGAAAAAAGGTTTATTTGGAAAAGGTTTATTGGGAAAAGGTTCTTCCCTAAAGGGTGGAGCACTGAACAAGATCCCCAGGGAATGGTGACATTCCCAAGGCTCCAGGTCAACGCTCCCAGGGAGGGATTTTGGGGTGTCTGTGCAGAAGTTGGATTTGATGATCCTTCCAGCTCAGGATTTTCCGTGATTCCCAAAATTCACGATGTCCCACACACAGCGGTTGTGCCCTCTCCTCCTTGGGAGGATTTGGAAGCCTTAAAAGCCATCAGCAGCCTGGGATGGTCCCAGATCTGACTCTGCTTAAAGCAGGAGGTTGGATCTGGGGTCTCTTGCGTCCCAAATTCTGCATCAATCCTACAAAATCAGCTCGGGATTGTTCTGTGAATATCCAGCAATTTCTAAAATATTTGAGATTCTGGAGACAGGGATTTCCTCGGTTCCTGTTTGGGGAATTGGCAACTATTTGATTTTGCTGTTTGACAGGTCCTTGATGATGGCAGCAGCTCCCAAATCTCCTCCCTGGTGGATCCTGGACAATCCTGGATTGTGGTGGGTCACAAACCTGCCTGGATGGAAACACGGGAGTGTGGAGGAGCAGAGAACAGGCAGCAAGGGAAAAAACCACTAAATGACAGATCAAACTGCAGGGAGATGCTGGCAGTGGCCACACGACCTGCTGTGGGGATGTGTGGGGTGGTCAAAAACTTTCTTGGGAAATTTCCAGCTCCAGGGGCTGCTGTGAGGATTTTTGGCAGGACGTTCCCACCAGGGATGTTTTAAAAAGCAGCCAGAGCCCGCTCTGGTGCCTGAGGTTGGCACGAGGGTGTTTGGAAGTCAGATCCCGGGGTGGGACAGGTTGAAGTAGAGTTTAAATCCTCCTCCAGCAGGCACAAGGTGGTGGATTTCCAACATTCCCATATCCTTGTGCCTCCCTAAAAACAGCTCCTGGCTCAGCCCTGGAGCGGAGCTGTGCTCCCTGCTCGTTATCAGCTTCATCCACTGATCACAGCAACTTTTTATCTCGCATTTATTTCCTCTGCTGGCTGCTCTCCCTTCGCCACGAGGGCTCTTCCAGAACCATCCATTAACCCTTCACTCCCCACTGAGTGCTGAGGCTCTGCGCCCCTCCTGCTCCCTCTTCCCTGGCGGCAGCTCGCCTTCCCTCACCTCCACAAACTGGGAATGCCCAAAAATCCTCCCGGCAGCAGCTCGCCTTCCCTGGCCTCCACAAACCAGGAATTCCCAAAAATCCTCCCGGCAGCAGCTCGCCTTCCCTCACCTCCACAAACCGGGAATTCCCAAAAATCCTCCCGGCAGCAGCTCGCCTTCCCTCACCTCCACAAACCGGGAATGCCCAAAAATCCTCCCGGCAGCAGCTCGCCTTCCCTGGCCTCCACAAACCAGGAATTCCCAAAAATCCTCCCGGCAGCAGCTCGCCTTCCCTCACCTCCACAAACCGGGAATTCCCAAAAATCCTTCCGGCAGCAGCTCGCCTTCCCTGACCTCCACAAACCAGGAATTCCCAAAAATCCTCCCGGCAGCAGCTTGCCTTCCCTCACCTCCACAAACTGGGAATGCCCAAAAATCCTCCCGGCAGCAGCTCGCCTTCCCTGACCTCCACAAACCAGGAATTCCCAAAAATCCTCCCGGCAGCAGCTCGCCTTCCCTCACCTCCACAAACCAGGAATTCCCAAAAATCCTCCCGGCAGCAGCTCGCCTTCCCTCACCTCCACAAACCGGGCATTCCCAAAAATCCTCCTCATTCCCTGCTGCCCCACACATTTTTCCCCAAAATTTCTCTTTCTTTAGCTCGGAATCATCAGGAAAGCTTCATTTTGGCTTCCGAAGGACGAAGCTGTGCCGTTCCTCCGGGGCCAGGAACGCGGGGAAGGGCAGGCGGAGTTTTGGGATGCAGTCGGGGAAGGGCAGGCGGGGGTTTGGGGTGCCCCACACATTTTTCCCCAAAATTTCTCTTTCTTTAGCTCGGAATCATCAGGAAAGATTCGTTTTGGCTCCCAAGGACGAAGCTGTGCCGTTCCTCCGGGGCCAGGAACGCGGGGGAGGCGCAGGCGCAGTTTTGGGATGGGTGCAGGTGGAGTTTTGGGATGGAGTCGGGGAAGGGCAGGCGGAGTTTTGGGATGGAGTCGGGGAAGCGCAGGCGGAGTTTTGGGGTGCAGCCGGAGAGGCGCAGGCGGAATTTTGGGATGCAGCCGGGGAGGCGCAGGCGGAGTTTTGGGATGGAGTCGGGGAAGCGCAGGCGGAGTTTTGGGATGGAGTCGGGGAAGCGCAGGCGGAGTTTTGGGGTGCAGCCGGGGAGGCGCAGGCGGAGTTTTGGGATGCAGTCAGGGAAGGGCAGGCGGAGTTTTGGGATGCAGTTGGAGGGAGGTGCAGGCGGAGTTTTGGGGTGCAGCCGGAGAGGCACAGGCGCAGTTTTGGGGTGCAGCCGGAGAGGCACAGGCGGAGTTTTGGGATGCAGCCGGAGAGGCACAGGCGCAGTTTTGGGGTGCAGCCGGAGGGAGCCCGGCGCGTTCGGCTCTGTTGCCCACACCTGAGCCCAGGGCTGGCATCCTGGTCTCTGCATTCCGCTGCCCCCGGGCTTTCAGGGGTGCCTTTCATCCCGGGCCGGAGCCCGTTCCGGTCGGGCAGGGCCTGGAAACGCCGAGCAGGGCCGGGAAATGCTCACCCCAAACCCCGCTCTGCACTTTGGAATTCCTGATCTGGGAACTCTGCAGTGGGCAGGGACATCTGCAGCTCCAGGCACTCGAGGTGTTTGGCCCCAAGCAGCTGATGGGAGCTTTATTTTTTTTTTCCCCTCTCCATTTCAAATTCCAGACCTCAGGAATGATGTAAAAGATGTTTACAGGCAGCATAAGTACATCTGATTTTATTCTGATTAATTTCTGTAGGTCTGCTGCTATTCCAAGGATAATTGACTTGGCTCAACACATTCCTGGACAGTTCTGTTTGTTATTTTACAGCATCATTTTAAAGCTTAAACCTTCTCTGATTTATAACTTCTTTTTAATAAAATACAAAAACAAATTTTAAAAATTTATAAATCAGAGAAGGTTTAAGCTTTAAGATGTGCAGTGGGCACTTAAGATTCAGTAAAGGCACAGAGCTTGTCCAAGACCACTCGGATCCTGGGAATTGTACAATTCCAGGGAATATTGATGGGAAAAGATAAATGAGTGACATAATTATCATGTTTGGGACGTGGAGCTGACCCTCAACTGCTGCCTAATGGAAACAAAAATAATCCTGGATTTAGGAAGCCAAGGAAGCACCTGTGGAGTGATTGGTTTAATTTGGTTTCCAAAATTCCTGGTTTAGGGAATTTTGGGAGGAAAAAATTTTAAAAAAGGCCGGTGAAGAGACATTGGCAATTCCAGGGAACGATGCTGGTGAATGCTTTGGTTTGTTCCACCTCACTTTAAATCCTCTAAATTTCACTTTCTTCATCAAAATCCACCAGTCCGTTTTCCTGTATAATTAACAGATCTGAAGTTACAGGAGATTATTCCCATCTTCAAGTTCCTGGCTGGGTTTTTTGGGAGGTGGCAGCTCAGATTTGTCAGGTTTTAGGCCTTTGTGTTGGTTTGGGATGAACTCATCCTTCCAAGCACCCAGGAAAACCAGGAAAAAACCCCAAAGTGTGGGAGAGGGAACTGCAGTGAGTTGTAAATCAATGATTTGGGTGCTCTCAGTCCGTGGAACGCCGTGGTGTTCCCAAAATCCGTGAAACCCTCGGGTGACACAGATTAATCTGCTCACAGAGCAGAGGTTTCCTCTCAGTCCACACTGAGACGTCCTTGAGCTGCACCAGGGGAGGATCAGGTTGGGTATTAGGAGAATTTCTTCATGGAAAGGATGGAATCTTCATTCCACAGAATTCCTGGGAGCGCCTGGAAAAGCTGTGGACATGGTTTGAGGAAATGGGCAGGGGTGTGGTGATCTAAAAGGACTTTTTCATCCTTAATAGTTCTGTGACTCTGTGAGTGGTGGTTGGAATTTCCTCTCAAATGTGATTTTTGTCCATAAATGCTGAGGATCCGTGTGCTTGCCATGATCTTTCCTGATGTGTGGAAAGGTTCAGTTTTGTCCCAGCTCTCTGGGGTAAATTAAAGTCACTGTGCTTTCAACCCCCTTATCCTCAAAAACTGCTCTTTGTTGCATTCTCTGGGAATTTCCCAAACTTCAGAGAAGACCAATGAGACAGAGAGAGAGAGCATGGGATTCCCAGTTTCTTAAATTCCAGCTCCTTGTGGATCCACGTGCAAATCCAGAGCGTTGGATTCGATTTCCTTCTCACTGCCACAACGGAAAAGATGGAATTGCTTTAACGTGAGAAAGGAATTCTTCCTCCAAGTTTTCCACGGGATGTGCCCCAGGAAATGATCCACAGGAAACCTCCCACGAGATCCAAGCAGCTCCAGGATCTAAGGAAGCTTCTCCAAGGTCAAAATTCCAGGAAAAGGAAAAGGGAATGTAGCACCAGCTGCAGGAAGACAGGTTCAGATCCCAAACCAGCAGGAACTTTCCTTCATTTCCCCAGTGCCAGGGGGATAAATTTTTGTGCTGTGGATCCTCCCTCATTCCGTGTCGGATCCTTGGTTGGATGAAGGGATGTGCCAGGGCTGAGCCTCAAACCGAGGAGGTGCTGCATGAGAGAGAAATGATAAAAATCAGAGCAATTTAGAGAATTCAGATTAACTCAGAGAATTCAGGTTCTAAATGCATTTAAGTGCTCAGCCAGTCCTGGGATTTTGTGGCATTTAATACCTCAAATATCTTTCCAAATCTGGATTTTGTGGGAAGATTTTTCCTGCTCGTGGTCTCATTATAGGGAAAACAATCACAAATCAAAACGTTTTTCCTTTTTCTGTCCCTTCCTGACAACCTGGCAAAGCCCAGCTGGAGCAGGATCCAAAATTGGGATGTTTACTTTGGGAAGAGCCTGGTGGAGTTCACAGAGGTCGGGGAGAGGTCACTGAGGGAATTACGATAGGATTTGTCTCTCTTTGACACAAAAAAACCCAAAAATACAGATTTTCCTTGCAAAACTGCCCCGAATCCAGGTGCAGGATCATTTACTTCAGCTGTGGTGTGGGTGGATCCTTTCCCTCCTAACCCCTTCCCTTTCCACAGCTTTTCATTTTTCCTGGATGCAGCTGGGATGGGATTTGGCACATCCCAGCCTGTCCCAGTGTCCTCCTTGTCCCATCCCCTGGGACATCAATCACATCCCTGCAGGAATCCCCTGTTCTCCCACATCCTCTCTGACAGCACTGGAATTCTCCTCATGGAAAAGTTCAGAGAGACTCAAACACCTTCTCCCCATTCCCAGCTTTATCCAGGCCGTGGGATTCCAGGATTGTGGAATTCCCTTTTTTATGGAAACCTTGTATGGCTTCGGCACCATGAGGGAATGGGATTTTCCAGCCTGATCCTGCTGTTTTTATGGCCAGGATGTGTTTATGTTCTGCTTCCCATTCATGTTTTCCCTTGGCATCATTCATGGAATCGTGAAATTCTGGAAAAGTTCTCCAAGACCACCAAGTCCATTTGTTCCCCAGCACTGCCATGGCCACCATGGATCCATGTCCCCAAGTGCCACATCCACATGGATTTTAAATCCCTCCAGGGATGGGGACTCCACCTGGCAGCTGTGCCAGGGCTGGACAACCCTTCCAGTGAAGGAATTTTTTAAATCCAATCCCCGATCCAGCCCAATCCAAGCATTCCAGAGCTTTCCTGATCTCTTTCTTGGATCCTTTCTCTCGTCACGAGGATTTGGGATCTCTGTTTGCACTGTGGATCCTCCTCCTGGAGATCAACCCATGGATCTGCTAAGAAAGCAAGGTTTGGGAGATCCAAAGGGATCCTGGAGGTCTCCAGGTGCTCCAGCATCTCCCATCTAGATGGGATCACCAGTAATTACTGGATAATCCTGGATCTCCCGTCACTCTACCCCAAAAATCCCAACAGCATTCCATCAAAATCCTCTTTTCCTTTGCTCCCTCCGGGTTCTTCACCATTTTGGTACAAAAAACCACCAGAGGTCAAGGATTGAAACCCCCACAGTGACAACTGTGAGCCACCAGGACTTCCCAAAGACCCCAAAAAGGCTTTCCCAGCAGGCTGCTGGCCCTGAGCAGCTTCGGGATGCACCAGGAGGAGCTTCCAAAGCCAGCCCAGACTGGAATGGCATCGGATTGTTTGGGATCGTGTCACTTTGTCTCCTTGTTTTTGGAAACCCTGTGCTCTGGATTCCCGGGGTTCCCACCTTGTTCTCCACCCCCAGGAGCAGCTCCAGGAGAGCTGGAGAGGGACTTGGGACACGGCATGGAGAGGCAGGAAACAGGGAATGGCTTCCCGCTGGGAAAGGAGAGATTGGGGTGGGATTTGGGAAGGAATTCCTGGCTGGGCTGGAATTCCCAGAGAAGCTGTGGCTGCCCCTGGATCCATGGAAGTGTCCAGGGAAAGGCTGGAAGGGCTTGGAGACCCCAGGACAGCGGAAGATGGCAGGAGGTGGAACTGGATGGGATTTCCCACCCAAACCGTTCCATGATTCCCTGATTCCGGGATTTGGGTCCCTGGAAGTGTCCAGGGAAAGGCTGGAAGGGCTTGGAGCACCCCAGGACAGGAGGTGGAACTGGATGGGATTTAAGGTCCCTTCCCACCCAAACCATTCCATGACTCCCCGATTCCAGGATTGGGGTCCCTGGAAGTGTCCAGGGAAAGGCTGGAAGGGCTTGGAGCTCCCGTGGCAGGGGGTGGAACTGGATGGATTTAAGGTCCCTTCCCACCCAAACCATTCCATGACTCCCCGATTCCAGGATCTGGGAGCTCTCCAGAGGACTCACACGGGCTCCTGGCGTCCCCCCCGGTGCCGTCTCCGGCTCCCCGGTGCCGCAGCCCTGGCGCTCGGGCGGGTCCCGGGCGGATGGTGCCGTTCCAGCGGGAGCTCCGGGCCAGCGCCCCGGCGGGACGGGCCCCGCTCCCGGCAGGCCGGGCCCAGCCGGGACGGAGCGGGGGCTTTGGGACGGGCTCGGGGGCTGCAGGGAGGGAGGACTGGGATGGGGAATGGGGATGGGGATGGGGAATGGGAGATGGGGAATGGGGAAAGGGAATGGGGATGGGGAATGGGGAGATGGGGAATGGGGAAAGGGAAGGGGAAAGGGAAAGGGAAAGGGAAAGGAAAATGGGGAAGGGGAAAGGGAAAGGGGAAGGGAAAGAGGGAAGAAGAGGGAAGAGGGAAGGAAAAAGGGAAGGGGAGATGGGGAAAGGGAAGGGGAAAAGAGAAGGGGAAAGGGAAAGGGCACATGGGGAAGGGGAAAAGGGAAAGGGAAGAGGAAAATGGGGAAGGGGAAAGGGGAAAGAGAAAGGGGAAGGGGAGATGGGAAAGGGGAAAGGGAAAGGGAAAAGGGAAGGGAAAGGGAAAAATAGAAGGGGAAAATCATTCCCAGCAGCTTCAGAGGGACTGAAATTTCATTTGATTCCAATGAAAACATTGGAATCCACTGGGAAATTCTATACATTCCATAAATTTTGTTCCCAAATTCTATTCTATTGATTCTATAGAATAATATCAATAAATATCTATTCTATAAATTGTATTCCTAAATGATATCCCTTAATGATATTCCTAAAACATAAAGCCATAATTTGCTTTATTTGAGCTGTGCTGTGGTGCCTTAAGGACAGAAGGACCCAATTAGAAATCGGTGCCAGTAAAGCTAAACCCACATTAATTAATTCTCCACACCAATTAATATGTTAATGCCCAAATTCTCCCCTGTGGATGTCCCCAATCTTGCTCAGGGTTCAAAAACTCAAAAGTGTAAAGGACAAAGTCTATTTTAACTTTTATTTCATCTAAAAAGTAAGCCAAGGGGAAAAAATCTTAATAACCCAGTTTATTCCTTGAGAAAAATCGTAAAAATTTTTTAAAAAATCTCCTAGATTCTGGAAAAGAACAGCTTGAGGGTTTTTTTGGGTTTTGTTGTTTTGTTTTTTGTTTTGGGTTTTTTTTGTAGTAGTAGTTTGGTTGTTTGTTTGTTTGTTTTTTGGTTTGGTTTGTTTTTTTGGGGTTTTTTTGACTGACCCAAGTTATTTGGTAAGAATAGAGAACAAACATAATTGTGTTGAATAAAGAAAATTCAAAGTAAGGTTTATAAAGTACAAACATACATTGCACAGGACCATGTGCTGGGAATCCTGGATTTGCCCGTCAGCTTTTCCCACCTCCTGGAAATGGAATTTTGACTCAGAACATCAATTCCCCATCAAAATACCATGGAAAAAATGCACTCCTGCCTTCAAATCCTACAATCTCATTACCTTAGGACACAGGCAGGGAGACAGGGACGACTGATCCTATCAAAAAGAAATTATTTATGGACTAAAAATAATTTTTAGAGGCTAAAATGATTTGGGAGCAGCTGTGAGGGTGGGGCAGAGGCAGAGCCAGCCCCGCGTTGCTGACTTTGACCCCCCCAGTTTGACTTCCCTATAAAATATCTGGGAATTTCCTGGGAAGGGCTCAGGAATCCCAGCTCCAGGTCACCCTTGGGGTGTCCCCAAAGCCTTTCCTGGATAAAGAGGGGGCAGGAATTCCCTGCCCCCTGCACAGCTTGGGGGTTCCTCATTGGAAACCTAATTAACTCCATGCACTCTAATTTACTCCTTATTCTAATTGGGCCAATTGACTTTAATTTATCCCAAATGAAGAGTGAGCCTGGACACATTTTCAGCTTTCCACGATGAGTAACAACCTCCAAACCCTCCCAGGTTTTCTCATTGACCACGTGGAGCCAGTGGATGTGCCCTTAATTAATTAAGTGTTTATTCTGATTTTGGCTGAGCCTCCTGAGCTGGGAGCTCCACCTGAAAACCCCTTTTTACATCTTCATTGCTGGCTGGAATATTCTTTACTCTCACCTGCCCTCTGCACTTGGATCACTGATCTGTTGGAGGGTTCCATTTTCATTTGACTCAGTGTTTGCTCGCCTTGGGCATTTATTCTTTCATCCCAGGCTATTCTTCTTCTAAGGATTTGCTGAAAGATTTGCATATTAAGCTTCTTTATTTAGACTTGATTAAATAGGAGCCTTTTCAAAGGCCTTTCATTTCAACCAGGTTTCCCAATGCTACCTTTAATAAGAGATGGAAATTAATTTTGGATTATTCCTGGAGAATTATATTTATATTTTTATTTTTTTCCGCATGCATCAGCCTGGTTTAACCTCGGTTTTATTGGTTTTAGTGCTCATTTATGGCTGCCCAGCCCTGGCACAGCTGCCCAGGGCTCCAGTGGAGTCCCCATCTCTGGAGGGTTAAAAATCCATATGGAAGTGACACCTGGGGACACAGATCAGTGGTGGCAGGGAATGGTTGGACTGGATGATCTTAAACACCTTTTTGAACTTCAACAATTCTGTGATTCTCTGATTCTTTGTTACTTAAATTCTTCCTGATTTGGGTTGCAGATTAATTAACTTGAAGATCACATAACTTTCCTAAAATCCAGAAAGAAAACCAAATTCTTTTATTTTTTTTACTCTGAGCTGAGATCCTTCCACTGCTGGCCTGGCCATAAAACAACTCGAAATTGGGAAGTTGTGCTGGGCTGTTGGAACCCTGGCTGCTGAGAATTTTACATTTTCTGTGACTTTTTGGCACTGACCCCCAAGAGAACACTGCACTTGACCTGGGGCTGTTGAGGAAGTTTCCAAAACTGAATTACTGAACTGGGATTGTGGGAGTGCAGTCTGAATAGAAGTGTGTAATATCACAGGGTGGGAAACTTAAAGGATTTAGAATAAAATGATATATATAAAGCAAGATGGAGGTTTTAGGGAGGAGGCTTCTTGACTTTTTCTTCATGGGTTTGTGCAATTGGATAAAAAAGTCCACACTGCAGGCCGTGTGTGGTTGGTTATTGGGTGAAAAGTTAATAGGGTTAAAAAAAGTTATTGGGTTAAAAGAAAATCATTTTGGTGTCGCTCCTTAATTGGACATTTTATCCTTAAAAGGCCTTTGGACAGTTTATCCTTAAAAGGCCTTGTAGAGAGAGAGAGAGAGATAGGGCTCAATTTTTAATTTGTTGAAGTGCTGCAGAACTCACTGCGTGTGAGATTGTAAAACAGATAAGAACTAATAAAGTTCTGAGTCCAAACAAGAAATAACATCTCGAGCATTTAATCCTGAGCCTGGCAAAAAGAAGTTGAGACCCAGAGTGTGAGGACACTGATCTGCAGAGAGTGCAAGCCCCAAGACAGAGGCTGAATGATGACATTTTCCGTGCTCTAACGGTGCCAGAATCTATTTCCTTGCACGCGAGGCTGTATTTGGGTCAGGAGGATGCCTCCCCATCTGGGAGACAAAGCCTCTCTTTTGTGTAACCCTTTTTTAGCACAGCTCCCAGCCCTTCCCTGCCCTCCGTGCTCGGGGAGCGCCGGGTCTGCTCCCAGCACCCGACACGCTGCTGAGCGCGGCCGAATCCTGGCACTCCTTTGTTTCCAGAGCCACACAGCCCATGGAACTTTCTGGAGTGACTTCCCCGGGCTCCTTTCATGGGAGGATGTCCTATTTTAGCAGCCCCGAGCACAAAGAGCCCTCAGTGTTAAGGTTTGGGGCTGATTTGCTCAGCTCAGGGTGCACAGGACGAACGAACTTCGAACCGCGGCGATCCGAGGTTGTGAAATTTTGGGAAGAGCCACACAGCCCGTGGAACTTTCTGGAGTGACTTCCCCGGGCTCCTTTCATGGGAGGATGTCCTATTTTAGCAGCCCCAAGCACAAAGAGCCCTCAGTGTTAAGGTTTGGGGCTGCTTTGCTCAGCTCAGGGCGCGTGGGACGAACAAACTTCGAACCGCGGCGATCCAAAGTTGTGAAATTTTGGGAAGAGATGCAAGAGTCATAAAAGAGCTGTGGCAGCACTTTGTAAAAAGCATGGAAAGGGATTTTTGGGGGCAGAGAAGAGGATAAATAACAGGGTCACTGCAGTGCTCTCAGTGCTGTCCCTTTCCCACCCACAGCGACGTCTGGGATGCAGCGAGATCCCCTCGGAGCAGCCACCCACAGGGAGGGGTTTGGTGTCCTCCTCCTTCCCAGGCTTTTCCCTGAGGGAAAATCTCCGAGCTCCACCATCCCTGGGGGTGCCTGACGCCTCCCCAGGTGCTGGAATCCCCCCCTGGGGACACTTGCCAGGGATGTCACCTTCCGCAGCTGAGTGGATCCACGACCTCCTCTCTTCTTCCTCTCGGCCGCCTGCCTGCTCAGGTCCGGGGTGTGCCCTCCTCCCTTCCTCCTCCTGCAGAGCAGACACAATAATTCCAATAAATGCCGTGCACTTGCTGCCCTGGGGGTGATAAAAGTCAAATCCTTTGGGGTGTTGCCACCTGAAAAGACGTGCCTTGAGATAACGAGTTTTTTATCTTGCCCCGAAGAGCACAATCAGCCAGCAGGGCTCAGGGGAAGGTGGAACTTGATTTTTTTTGAAGTTGTGATAAATTCTGGCACTCGAACACAAGCTCAGGACTCAGTGATTTAAGCTAAGACTGCCTAAGATGTTACAGCTCCTTGGGGAAATTCACAGAAAAGAAGTTGAGCTGAATCAATTTGGGAGTTTTCAGTGAAGTCTGTGTGACCTGAAGTGTAAAAAAGGGCTGGGGGCTGCCCCTCCAGCAAGGTTTATTCAGTGTTTTCTGTAGCCAAATAATTCTACACATGAATTTGTGTATTTTTGCTATTATATATGCAGCTGCTGTGAAATTCAACACAATGAACTGGCAGAACAGGAATATTCCAGAGTGTGAAAATTAAGTGAATTGCACTGGAATATGGCCAGCAGCCACATTTTTTTCCAATATCAGGAGTAAAATCCAGACTCTGAGGCATTATTATTTCTAAGCACTCAGGCAGGTTCATTATCCAAAGGCATTCATTCCACATGCAAATTCCATGATATGGGATCTGGGAATTTAAAGTAGAACCTTTGAGGAGTTTTCCCAGTGTCTGTGGGCAGCTAAAAAAACACAGCAGAAATACAAAACCATGGATATAAAGGGTGGAAATGGACTCTAAAACAGCTTTAATCCTGGAAAAAAACAGGATCCCACCACCAGCACATGTCCAGCATTCCCTCATCCCAGTTCAGGATCATAAAGTCAAATCCAGCATTATTTCAAATAGGGAACTGAGGAAAAGCACAACCTGTTTATAAACACAAAAAACCAAAAAAAATTTTAAAAAACCAAAAAAAAAAAACCCACAAAAAAACCCAAAAAACCCCACCAAACCAAACCAAACCAAACCAAAAAAAAAAACAAACAACCAAACACAAAAAACCAAAAAAATTAAAAAAAACCCCAAAAACCAAAAAAACACCAAACCAAACCAAATCAAACCAAAACAAAAAAAAAAAAACAAACAACCAAACACAAAAAACCAAAAAAATTAAAAAAAACCCCAAAAACCAAAAAAACACCAAAACCAAAAAAAAAAAACCAAAAAAAAAACAAAAACCAAAAAAACCACCAAACCAAACCAAATCAAACCAAAACAAAAAAAAAACAAAAACAACCAACCAACCAACCAACCAACCAACCAACCAACCAACCAACCAACCAACCAACCAACCAACCAACCAACCAACCAACCAACCAACCAACCAACCAACCAACCAACCAACCAACCAACCAACCAACCAACCAACCAACCAAAAAAAAAAAAACAAAAAAAAAAAAAACCACAAGGGAGAAAACTCCATCCAAAATATTCCAGCTGGGAATGAACTGGTCATTTTGGTGGACCTGGCAGCGTCCATGTTATGGTTGGACTCAGTGATCTTAAAGGTGTTTTCCATCCTAAATCACGCTGTGACCTTTGGGCAGAAGGCAGCCCTGGCCTTGTGACTGTAAATATTATTGTAAAATATAATTGTAAAATATAATTGTAAATTGTTAGTGTAAATTGTTAGTGTAAATTATTAGTGCAAATTTAGGTATCTGCAGCTCTGTTCTGGTGTCCAAATCGTGGTGTCAGGTCAGCCCCACAGCCCCAGCTCCAGGTCGGGAAAACGCACGGAGCGAGGACGAGGAAAAAGGAGGGAAGGTCTCACTCCCAGTGCTGAACTCGCTGTTTCTCACCCCTTAAGGAATATTTTTGATTCCCCCAGGGAGCTGGGCTGGCTTTTGAGCAGCACGGAGAGGGAGAGAGGAGCGAGGGGCTGAGGGAGGCCGCTCCGAGTCCTTCTCACGCGAGCGAGCCCCTCTTTGTCAGAGACGCGGCCTGCGCCGCCGGCACAACAATTACCCAAATAATTATTTTCTCCTCGGGTAAACACTCCAGGACAATATGCAACTGTTTTTTAGAGCCAGCCCGTGGCCATAAATTACGCCGGGCCGGGGAGGGGGGAAGGACGTGGCCGTGAGAAGGAGCAGGGCCCTGTCTTGAGGCACAAGGCCGCGGCCTTGGCGCGGCTCCAGCGCTCGCTGGAATCGGAATTCATTATTCATCATCAAGTGGGAGGCAAATCTTTTGATTTATTGGCAACCAGAAGCACAAACAGCAGATGCCTTCCAGCAGAAGTGGGCCTGACAGAAACGCCCTCCTGGGCCTCTGTAGGCAGATCAGAGCCGCACAGAAAAATTTCCTAACTCGCTGCAGATAAAAATCTTTCACTTCCCCTATGTAATATTTCTTTGTGCCCAGAGAGGCAGATCCTTCCTTGCTGATCTCTGGAGGGTTTTTGTTGGGTTGTTTTTTGGGTTTTTTTTTGTCTACAGCAAAAAGCTGCGTGGACAATTCAGGCAGAAAACAAACCAGACCTACCAGAAATCATCGCTGTGATAAATTACACCACCGATAGTCACAGCTATAATTCTATTGAGGGATTTTGATAACCCCTTCCAGGCAATTTGTAATCCAAGCCTGTCTGTATCTCTTCTCTATCACCTCGCCACTCCCTTGGCTGCGCGTCTGATCCTTGCTATTCTTCATTTCCCTGCTCAGTGACTGGGAAGCTTTTCCCACACTGTCCCAGCTAAACCCAAAACCTCCCATGGAAATTACTGGGGGATCTCTGTCCCACCTCCTTCACTCCCTCAGAGGGGTTTTCACTGAGCTCCTGGGCACAGTTTTTAGGGTACAAACTCCTGCGTTTCTGAGTAACCAGCAAAGAAATCCAGCAGAAACAAAAAATATGTTTCAGCGATCACCCAGACTCCAAATGAACCCCGTTTTTTGGGCACTCCCCAGCTGTGGCCCAGTGCTGTTGTTCTCCCCAGTGAGCACTGTCTGGAGATTTATCGATCTGTTTTTCAAAGCTAAAGAGCCAATTACGGTCTCACAGCCTGCAGAATGTGTTTTGTGTTTCCACTTAGAGGACTCCATTTCCACCGCGCTGCCTAATTGAGAATTGACTGCAGCTCGCTCTGCTTCTGCTTCCCATATTTCCCTTTTTTTTTTTTTTGGCTAAACAAGGATGAGTACCCTGCTAGGAATTCTCAGCAGTGTTGTTTTGGTGCTGCTGTGGGAGGGAGAAGGCAGCTGATGACTCAAAAAGGCCAGCCAAGAAACTGATGGAAACTCTGCGGCATCACAGATGACAACAAGTGACTTTTTCCATGAGCAGTTTTAAACTGAAAGAGATTTCGATTAAATATTAGGAAAAAAATCCTTCCCTGTGAGGAGCAGGAACTCCCAGGGAAGCTGTGGATGCCCCTGGAAGTGTCCAAGGCCAGGCTGGACGGGGCTTGGAGCAGCCTGGGATAGTGGAAGGTGTCAGAGTTGGAACTGGGTGAATTTTAATGCCTTTTTCCACCCAAACCATTCTGGAATTCCATGAACTCTGCCATTTAAACATCAATATTTCACCTTGATGTGATGAGCAGCACAGTCCTCCTCTCCCTTTGGGCCAGAAAACAACTGCAGAGCAAGGTTGAGCTCGAGGAGATTTTAACCAGGCCCAAAAAGCTTTTTTCTTTTTTTTTTTTGGTTGATTACCTCTTAAATTCTGCAAAATCCAAGCTGGAATTAGACAGATTAACTCGGAGTCGAGGCAGTAGCCAGTGACTGGTCTCACACCTCGCTTTGATGGTGGCGTCAGGTATTCCTTTGATGTGATCCTGTTTATTCACAAGGAATTCTCCGCAGCTTCCTCGGCACTCAAATGGGGAAAAAAAGGTTTTGTTGGCTCAGGGACTCCCAGGCAAGGTGCTGGGCTGGAAGAGCTCCCTCCAGTCCTTTTCTCTGCACTCTCATTTGGGTTTCTGCGAAACCCAGACCGCAGAAAAAGCCATTTCCCCTCCCAGATTCCCTTTGGCAAACGCCTGGAAATCGCTTCTGTTGTTGCAGGGTCTCGTTTTACACCGATCTCCTTCCTCCCGACATCCATTTTACCTGAGGAGAGGTTGTTTTGCCCTTGAGCTCCTGGAATCCGGCTCCTCTGAAGGAGAAGCTGGGATCGCCGGCGGGGTGGGAGATTTTTATCTCGGGATTCTCTTCTGCCTTCCAAGCCGAGCCCTGGTCAGGCAGGTGGATTCCTGGGAGACTCCAAACCAAGGCTTGGAGGGACACCAGGACCACGGTGACATTTTCCTGCCACCCCCACCAAAATTTGGGGGTCATCAAGGTGGTGTCCCCCTGCTCCAGGGGTCCAGCTGAGGAGCTGAATTCCCATTCCCAAAAGGTGGAGAACACAACAGCATCAGTGGAGGATTTTTTGGGAAGGCACAGCAACGTGTCCCTGGAAAAGAAGCACCAGAACATCCTTGTGGGAGTGGGAGGCTGGGTCAGCACCTGAAATGTGGCACCTGTGCTGCTGAATAATCAGCACAGATGAGCCTGAGCAGCAGCAATTACCTGCAGCTTAAGGGATATTAAAGGCAGATCCTCAATGAACAGGCAAATCTCACAGAATTCCTCTCTCTCCTGGCAATAATCCTCTGTAATTGAGGATAAATGGCAGATTTGCAGGAGCACTTTGCATTAGAACATTCCCCACAGATGGAGACAGGCTGGGATCTCACTGGGGAGAGGCAAACAGGGAGTGTATTTATTTGCTGTTTCAGTTATTTGCTGTTTCATTGTTTCAGGTGAATTGTTTTCACCTGGTTCCCCAGCTCAACGCTGGGACAGGGCGACTTTTAAACTCTTCAGACAAGGCCTGTCCCACTTTTTCATGGCACAGAAGAATCCTAAACCTCACAAAAATGGCACAAGAAAATCCTAAACCTCACAGAAACCTCTGGGAGCTGCTACAGAAAACCATTGAGAGCAGCTGGAAAATAATATTTTGTTTGCAGCAGGAAACGTTCGGTGAAAATATTCCCTTAAAAACCTCAAAGAACACGACCCAAAAGCGGTGTTGGAGTTGGGAAACACCCCACAGAAAGAGGGTGAGGTGGAAACTGGGAAGCTCTTTGAAGTAGTGCAACATCCAAGGGCCGGGGGACGCGGATTAAAACGTGATTCATCCAAGGCTTTTGCTCGGGGAGCTCCGCGGAACACCCCGGAGGAGCGGTGGGTTTGGGAAAGAGCTCCCAAACAATCCCTGGCTGGGGTAACTCCTGAGTGCAGGGATGATCTGGGCTCTGTTGGGTGTTTATTTAAACAAAACCTGGGTGCTTTTTGTCGTGGCTCTGTCGGCTCCCAAGGTTTTTGTTGGCACGGCCCAGAGGAATCTCCTGCTCGGCGCGGCGAGCCCGTGGATTCCCACAGAAAACAGGGAATGCTCAGGAGGATCCAGTGCCTCTTTGCCAGGCTTGGATTAATGGCAGTGGCACCCTTGTCACGCCAGCCGGGCTGAGGTGACCCCTGGGAAAGTCAGAGGTGGCATTTCCAAGGATTTACACAAGAGAAGGGTGAGCTCTTCCCACAGGTCACCCCACACCCTCCCTGGGCTTGTTCATGCCCAGAAAACTGACCCTGGATCTAAGATTTGGAAAATCTCTGATGCCAGAGGTGACAAAGGAACACCTGTGGCAGTTCTAACACAGATCCATGTGCAAAGCTCTGCTCTGGGAGGGAAATGCCTTTTTTTTTTTTTTTTCCCATGTGGATAATCCTGGGAGCCCAGGAAGTGCTGGATCCAGGCAGAGCAGACACAAATACCATTCATCACTTCCATGCTCTGACATCCTCTTACACCTGCCCCGCAATTCAATCATCCCAACCTCCTCTCAGCCAGCAGATCCTCCGAGAGATAGAATTACATTTCATCACAATTCATTCATTCTGCCTCTGCCCCTGCGAAACCCACGCATTCCTCTCAGCCTGGCAGCTTGGTTTTAAAAACTCTCCAACAATCCCTTGGCCTGATTCCTCCTGCTCCAGCTCTGGAACATCCCCCAGGAGTTCCACCCCGAACTCGGCTCTGAAAACTGAGATACAATTACACCAAAAATCGAGTTGTGCAGAAAGGACACAAAGCAGCGGCGGCTTTGGGCCAAAAAAAGCCAAAAAAAGAGCAGGAAAGTGGGTTTGCAACCAGAAAAGGTGGAAGGATATGGAAAATCTGGTTGCACAGGGGAAAAAGGAAAGGAGGTGAAGCTCTTACGCCTGCCTGGCCTGCTCGATGGGGTCCCAGTTGTCCAGGTAGTTGTAGCGGATGGTGTCCGTGGGGTTCCTGTCGGAGGAGCGCCAGGGAGGGAGCTCCTTTTTCCCCCTGCTTGTCCCCAGTCCTGCCACAGAAGGTTTCCTCTCTGGGACGTTGCTTTGTACCGGCTGCACGTCGATAACGATGAACTCGTCCTTGGAAGGAGTCTAATTGGAGAGGTGGAAAGGAGAAAATGAGTTTGAGACGGAGATGAAAATCAGATTTAGAGTTACAGTAATTGGGGATTGACTCAAAGTTGGTCTCTGGACAGAAAGAGGCACCTTGGCAGGGCTTGTCACCACCCAAGCCCTGCCATCCATATTAAAATGAGCTGAGCTGCTGTTGAGCTGCATCAGCTTCTCTCTATCAACTACAGAGAGCCTGATTTAAAGCCAGACTTTGCTTTGAATTAAATTAAAGGGCTGAGCTTTGAATTTAAGCCAGGAGGATCCCCAAAAAGATCACGAGGCAGAGGGGCTGGGAGCCAGACCCCACAGTTGTCCCAGTGGAGGAGGTGTGGTGGCTGGAGAGGCTACCTAGAACAGAGTTAGAGAAATAAAACAAGAGAAATAAAACAAGACATAGAAATAGACAGAGTTAGAGAAATAAAAGAAGAATTCATTAAAAAGGCCTTCCAAGGATACACCTTGGGCAGTGCAAGGGCCTGGCCAAGGCTACACCCAAGATGGAGGATGGATGTCACTGCTGATGGATGTCACTGTTGGATTAAGCTCTTTGCTGACCCAGGGATGGGGCCTTTTAAAAAACTTTTATTCTGTTTTCAGCCTCGTGTGAGGGGTGAGACAATGCAGATGTTATAATTCACGCCATCACAATCAGAAGCCAACTATTTCTTAATCAAAATACATTTTAAGTGTTCCTTAACCTATCGACTTTTACCTCACCATGCTGTAAATACCTCAAAAGCAATCATGTAAAATTACCCTTCATGGGTCTTACTACAATGCACCTTTCACAGTTTAATTTCTCTGAAGTATCCAGTCTTATTTGCATCCTTTGAAACTTGTTTCTAGCTCCATTTCTCTCTCAACAATGCCTGTCCTGCTCCATGGCATTTCTAAGTCAGCATTTCCTGGCTCAAAGTTTGCACACAGATGTGTGAGCCTTCTGCCAGGCTTGGAGAATTCTCTACAAAGCCATTTCCCACAGCTCACGAGTTTTCACACTTCTATAAGTTCTGGTGCATTTGCATATTGGGGGTTAATTATTCAATTACAGCTTCAGGTAACGAAGTCACATCCTCCCAGTTTGCTCCCATCAATTGACACTTTTGGGGCTTGAAGCTACAATGGTGTCCTTGGTTCTTGGGTTGGAAAATGGTTGTTTTGTCTAACTAATCTGTGAGGAGAACTTGCTAACACTTTATATGAAGTTCAGAATTACACACCGTTGGAGCCCTGGGTGCTGAGAATTTTAGATTTTCTGTGCTGAAAATCACAGAGCCACAAGAGAACGCTGCACTTGACCTGAGGCCGTGGAGAAGGCTTCAAATATTGAATGATAGAACTGGGACCGTGGGTGTGGAGTTTGAATAAAAGTGTGTAATTTCACAGGGTGGGAAACGTAAGATTTTAAGGTTTTAGAATATAGTAATATATATAAACAAGATGGATGCTGAGAATTTTAGACTTTCTGTGCTGAAAAGCACAGACCCACAAGACAGCACTGCACTTGACCTGAGGCCATGCAGAAGGCTTCAAAAATTGAATGATAGAACTGGGATTGTGGGTGTGGAGTTTGAATAAAAGTGTGTAATTTCACAGGGTGGAAAATTTAGAGTTTGGAGTTTTAGAACATAGTAATATATATAAACAAGATGGATGCTGAGAATTTTAGACTTTCTATGCTGAAAATCACAGACCCACAAGACAGCACTGCACTTGACCTGAGGCCGTGCAGAAGGCTTCAAAAATTGAATGATAGAACTGGGATTGTGGGTGTGGAGTTTGAATAAAAGTGTGTAATTTCACAGGGTGGGAAACCTAGAGTTTAAGGTTTTAGAATTTAAAAATTGAATGATAGAACTGGGATTGTGGGTGTGGAGTTTGAATAAAAGTGTGTAATATCACAGGGTGGAAAACTTAAGAGTTTAAGGTTTTAGAATATGTAATGTATATAAATAAGATGGAGGTTTTAGGGTGGTGGCTGATCCTTCTTCTCCAGGGGTTTCTGTCCAATTTTGTAATTGGACAGAAAAGTCCACACTGTGGGATTTGAGTGATTCGTTATTGGGTTAAAGGTGAAAATCATGTAGGTGTCATTTCTTAATTGGATCGTTTAGCCTTAAAAGACCTTGCAGAGGAAGACAGCCATTTTGTGGCTTGTCAGTGAGACACTGCAGAACTCACTTCTTGCGAGACACAACACAGACAATAAAAAATAAACATTTGAGCCTGGACACGAAATAAACTCTTGAGTGCTTCAACCCCAACAGAGGCAGAGGAAAGAGCAGCACACAAAACCAGTGCAGAATGTGCAAAACCTGCGAGCTGGGGCTGCAGGCAGCAGCGTACCTGGGGCCTGGTGAGGCGCAGCTCCTTCACCATCTGGACGTAGTGTCTCTTCCAGACGCCCTGCTCCAAGGGCGTGGGGCAGAAGTTGAGCAGCCACCCGAAACGCAGGCACTTCAGCATCCACAGCTGGTCCAGCTCCGACAGGTACTTCCAGTGCCAGCTCACCTGTGGATTCCCAGCCACTTGGAAACTTGGTGGTTTAAAGAGTTTGAGGGTTTGGGTTTCTGTGCCGGGAATATTCTTAAATGAATTGAATTCTTCTGTGCTGTTAATGCTCCATTTAAAACTTTGATTAAAGGATTTAAAGGCCTTCATGATGTGGCCTATATCTTCCAACTCAAGATATTTTGTGATTCTGAGGAATTTTCTAACCTGTTGTCATGGAGAGTTTGAGTTGCATCCACATGAAATGCTAAAGCAAGTTACTAAAGCAAGGCGTAGCCATGCTGAGATTATTATATATTCTTAAATAAAATGGAATATTTCATTAGCACAGTAATAATGTCACTGAAAACTGACTTACTAATTTCATTTCAGAATCGACAGCTGGTCCAGCTCCGACAGGTACTTCCAGTGCCAGCTCACCTGTGGATTCCCAGCCACTTGGAAACTTGGTGGTTTAAAGAGTTTGAGGGTTTGGATTTCTGTGCCGGGGATATAATTCCCACATATCCTTAAATGAATTGAATTCTTCTTTAATGCTCCATTTAAAACTTTGATTAAAGGATTTAGACCTTTCAAGGCCTTCATGATGTGGGGCCCTTCCAACTCAAGATATTCTGTGATTCTGAGGAATTTTCTAACCTGTTGTCATGGAGAGTTTGAGTTGCATCCACATGAAATGCTAAAGCAAGTTACTAATGCAAGGCTTAGCCATGCTGAGATTATTATATATTCTTAAATAAAATTGAATATTTCATTAGCACAGTAATAATGTCACTGAAAACTGACTTACTAATTTAAAACCACTGTGGGCAGCATCTCAGAGCATTTTATGGCATGCAAACAGATTTTTGGAGTCTTAATCCTTTTGCTCCAAAGCCCATCTGTAATTTTCTGCTTCTCCACATGCAACACTTGACCTTCAGGCATTTTAAAGGATCTGTTTTCCTTTCAGGATCAAGTGTTCTTCGCAAAAGCACAAGCCAATATCTCTCAAAGAATTAAGGGCTCTGCACACAGTGCAAGGTATTTTAGAGGAATGTGATTTTTAGGAGGTACCAGGCTTCCTTTCTGGGAATAATTAGCCTTGAAAATGCCACTTTTAAAATACTTTAGAACTGAGCATTTAAAATTACTCATCAGTTCTGTAAATCTTGAACAATCTGGCTTAATTTAGGATCTGAGGAATGAGCATCACTAAGCATTTGGCCAAGTCAGAAGACCTTTTGTCTTCACTAAAAATCAGTGGGGTTTTTGGGTTGTTTTTTTGTTTGTTTTTTGGTTTTTTGCTTTTTGTTTTGGTTTTTTAACTGCTTTGTCCTGCCTTTCTGAAGCCCAGGCAGGTGCTGGCTTTTTTTACCTGTGCACATCGACAGAGGCTCCGCGGATCCAGGAAAGAAAAGATGTACAAGGACAGGACTCGAGGGAGCCTCGTGGTAAAATCGACGGCCTCGGTGGGGACTCGGGCCTGGAGCTGCTTGGCACAGAATTTCTGCTGGGACAGGGAGCAGCGTTCCAGCAGGTCCACCAGGATCTTCCTCCTCTGGCCATCTGTCCACTTGTCAAACTGAAGGGAAAAAAAAAAAAAAATTAGGAGTTTCAGGTGAAGAGAAACCGGAGATTCAGCTTCTTAAAATAAAACGAGGCGAGGGAAAGCACAGGAGCAGCTTCTGGTGACTCACTCTGAGGGAGCAGAGCGTTGGGAGCAAATGGAGAGGCTACATGAAAAGAAACTCTGAAGCCACAGAATTATTTATAATCCTCAAAGGATCCAGAACAGCCTGGGCCAGGACTCAGTCACGCTCCTGGGACCGGCTTCCCTCACAGAAAGGAAGAGACTCGGATGGGTTTTTACAGGAGCAGGTCCCAATGATGAATTAATGTCTGATTCCTTCTCCCTGACACTTTCTAATCCTCAAAGGATCCAGGACAACCTAGGCCAGGATTAACTCAGGCTCCTGGGACTGGCTTCCCGCACAGAAAGGAGGAAACTCAGAAGGGTTTTACCCATTTGAGCAGGCCCCAGTGATGAATTCATCGATGATTCCTTCTCCTCTGATGCTTCCTAATTCTCAAAGGATCCAGGATGGCCTAGGCCAGGAATAACTGAGTCTCCTGGGACTGGCTTCCCTCACAGAAAGGAGGAGACTCAGATGGGTTTTTACCAATCTGAGCAGGCCCCAGTGATGAATTCATTCCTGAATCCTTCTCTGACACTTTCTAACCCTCAAAGGATCCAGGACAGCCTAGGCCAGGATTTCCCTGATGCTTCCTAATACTCAAAGGATCCAGGACAGCCTGGGCCTGGACTCAGTCAGGCTCCTGGGACTGGCTTCCCCCTCAGAAAGGAGGAGACTCTGATGGGTTTTTACCAATCTGAGCAGGCCCCAGTGATGAATTCATTGCTGAATCCTTCTCCTCTGATGCTTCCTAACCCTCAAAGAATCCAGGACAGCCTGGGCCTGGACTCAGTCAGGCTCCTGGGACTGGCTTCCCTCACAGAAAGGAGGAAACTCAGATGGGTTTTTACAGGAGCAGGCCCCAGTGATGAATTCATTGCTGATTCCTTCTCTGACACTTTCTAGCCTAGGCCAGGATTAACTCATGCTCTTGGGACCAGCTCCGAGCCTTGGCTTCCCTCATGGAAATCAGGAGACTCAGATGGGTTTTTACCCATTTGAGCAGGCCCCAGTGATGAATTCATTGCTGATTCCTTCTCTGACATCTTCTAACCCTCAAAGGATCCAGGATGGCCTAGGCTCCAGGACTTACTCATGCTCCTGGGTCCGGCTTCCCTCACAGAAAGGAGGAAACTCAGATGGGTTTTACTCATTTGAACAGGCCCCAGTGATGAATTCATTGCTGAATCCTTCTTCCCTGATGCTTCCTAATACTCAAAGGATCCAGGACAGCCTGGGCCTGGACTCAGTCAGGCTCCTGGGACTGGCTTCCCTCACAGAAAGGAGGAGACTCAGATATGTTTTTATAGGAGCAGGCCCTAGTGATGAATTCATTGCTGATTCCTTCTCTGACATCTTCTAACCCTCAAAGGATCCAGGATGGCCTAGGCCAGGACTCACTCATGCTGCTGGGACTGGCTTCCCTTACAGAATGAGGAGACTCAGATGGGTTTTTACCCATTTGAGCAGGCCCCAGTGATGAATTCATTGCTGAATCCTTCTCCCTGACGCTTTCTAACCCTCAAAGGATCCAGGATGGCCTAGGCCAGGACTCACTCATGCTGCTGGGACTGGCTTCCCTTACAGAATGAGGAGACTCAGATGGGTTTTTACCCATTTGAGCAGGCCCCAGTGATGAATTCATTGCTGAATCCTTCTCCCTGACGCTTTCTAACCCTCAAAGGATCCAGGATGGCCTAGGCTCCAGGACTTACTCATGCTCCTGGGTCCGGCTTCCCTCACAGAAAGGAGGAAACTCAGATGGGTTTTACTCATTTGAACAGGCCCCAGTGATGAATTCATTGCTGAATCCTTCTCCCTGACGCTTTCTAACCCTCAAAGGATCCAGGATGGCCTAGGCCAGGATGAACTCAGGCTCCTGGGATTGGCTTCCCACGGAAAGGAGGAGACTCAGATGGGTTTTTACCCATTTGAGCAGGCCCCAGTGATGAATTCATTCCTGCATCCTTCTCTGACACTTTCTAACCCTCAAAGGATCCAGGATGGCCTAGGCGAGGACACACTCAGGCTCCTGGGACCGGCTTCCCGCACGGAAAGGAGGAGACTCAGATGGGTTTTTACCCATTTGAGCAGGCCCCAGTGATGAATTCATCGATGATTCCTTCCCTGACACTTTCAAACCCTTGAAGGATCCAGGACGGCCTAGGCCAGGACTCACTCATGCTGCTGGGACTGGCTTCCCTCACAGAAAGGAGACTCAGATGGGTTTTTACCAAGCTGAGCAGGCCCCAGTTATGAATTCATTGCTGATTCCTTCTCCCTGACACTTTCTAACCCTCGAAGGATCCAGGACAGCCAAGACCAGGACTCACTCATGCTGCTGGGACTGGCTTCCTGCACGGAAAGGACGAGCCTCAGATGGGTTTTATTCATGGTTTTTACCCATTTGAGCAGGCCCCAGTTATGAATTCATTGCTGATTCCTTCTCCCCTGACACTTCCACAGCTCCCACTGCTGCCATCTCAGAGTGCCTCACAATTTGTGAAGTATTTTTTCCTCACAACCCCCCCGCACAGGCTACGCAGAGCGGCGCAGAGAAAAACCAAACAAGGAAAAATCCACGGTGGCGGCAGAGTCAGAAAGATTTTTCCACAGCTGATGGCAGGTAGCTAAAGAGGAGGATTGAATCCTCAGGGATTGAATCTGTGTGGGAGGAACTCAGGGAAGCTCTGCAGAGCTGGGCAAACAGGGTGGGAGTGACAACAAGGGCCTGTCAGCAGCCATCTCCTGGGAGGAGGCCCCGCAAATTGCTCAAATTGTCCCCACAAATGACTCAAATTCTCCCCACAAATGATTCAAATTGTGCCCACGGATGTCTCAAATGGTTCAAATCTGGCTCCAAACCTGCAGGGAGGAAAAGCCCTGGCATGGTTGTGGCCAGCCCAGCAGGAATTCCCAGTGGGAATGGCGGGGTGGTTGGAGAGGGTTTTCCTGAGGGAAACGTGGATTTTGCTTCATCCTGTCTTACCAGAGTGTTTTAAATTCTTTATTTTTTATGGAGAGGGTTTTCCTGAGGGGAAATTTGGATTTTGCTTCATCCTGTCTTACCAGAGTGTTTTAAATTCTTTATTTTTTATTATTAAGGTCAGGATTAAATGTGTGAGGTGGTATTTCTTGTTCAGACTCAGATTTTTTTAGTTATTATTTATGTTAATCTCACAAACTGGGAGTTCTACAGCACTATGCTTTAACAAACTAAAAAAGGAGGTTTTAGATCTCTCTCTACAAGGCTTTTTAACGATAAACTGTTTCATTATGAAATGACACTTAAATTATTTTTACTTTTAACTTAATAACTACCTATGGCCTGCAATGTGGACTTTTTTATCTAATTACACCATACACACCAAACCCATGAAGAAGAAGGTGAAGAAGGATTAGTTTCCACCCTAAAACCTCTATCTTGCTATATGTGTATTGCTATATTCTAAAACTTTAAATTATAAGAAATACCACCCAAATCCATTAAGAAGAAGGTGAAGAAGGATTAGTTTCCACCCTAAAACCTCTATCTTGCTATATGTGTATTGCTATATTCTAAAACTTTAAATTATAAGTTTTCCACCACGTGGTATTACACACTTCTATTCAAACTGCACACCCATAATCCCACTTTTATAATTTAATTTTGGAAGTTTTCTCCACAGCCTCAGGTCAAATGTAGTGTTGTTCTTTTGGGGGTCAGTGCTTGTCAGCGCATAAAATTTAAAATTCTCAATATCCAGAGTTCCAGCATTGAAAGGTTTTAAACTCAGAGAGGAGAGGTTTAGATTAGGGAGAAATCCTTCCCTGTAAGGTGGGGAGGCCCTGGAATGGAATTCCCAGAGAAGCTGTGGCTGCCCCTGGATCCCTGGAATGTCCAAGACCAGGATGGAGCTTCCTGGGATTGTGGAAGGTGATCCTGCCATGACAGGGAGTGGAATGGGATGAGCTTTCAATCCTTTGTTAAATGTGACCTCCAAAAATTAAATATAAAAAAAGTAAAAAAAAAAAAAAAACAAGAAAAAAAAGAATAATACTATAAATAAGACTACAAATATAAATAAGACTATAAATATAAATATAAATATAAATATAAATATAAATATAAATATAAATATAAAATTAAGATTTTAAATGAAGAAAAAAAAGTTCTCCCAGTGTTTTTTTCAATATTATGGGTAAATAAATAGTTTAATATTCAGTGTCCATTCTTTTCCCTGTCAGAATGAAATTAGAAAAATAATTCAAAAGACAGATAACAAATGCAGATTTTTTTTTCCTCTGCTTCCTCCCCACCCCAAATCTGTGCTCAAATGGAGAACTGGCAGAATAACAGCTTAAAATGCACTGTGCAGACGAAGGTAATTGAGAAGCATTTTCTTTCCTGACTATTTTTTAAGAACTCCTTTTTTATTTATTTATTTTCCCTTGGATGAATTCCAGTGCTGGAGAACAAACTCCAGGAAGCAAAAAAAGCTCTTCTCCTTCTCACCAACACCTCTGCAAGACCTTCAGGAAGGTCAGGATGAAGAGAGTGTGGGATTGGCATTCCTGAGATTCTGGAGAGATGAAAAAATAAATTTAAAACAAAAAAAGCTCCCTGTCTTTTCAGACGCACTGAAATAAGGAATATTCCCCTTTTTTAAATCCCTATTTTTCATATAACTTTCAATTCTAATGATGATTAGCAGGGTGTTAAGGGAAAACTGAAGGAGAACCTGGGGATTTAGGACTTAGAAATGTTCCCTGAGAATGAAATCCGACAAAGATGAACCGGAGGGGGACAGAGGAGGTTCTGCCTGCCCCCTTCTCACCCTTGGCTTGAAACGAAAGGTTTGAAACCCCTTGAAATTAAAGATTTAATGTAATAATCTGTCACAGGAAG